AATATCTTACAATTCCCAATTTGAAACTCTTAAATATTAATGCATTTTTAAATTTTGATAACATTTTTCATAATTTTATTATACCTATTGTCCGTGTAAATTGAATTAGCGTTTTTTTTTATTTATTAATACCTTAGCAAAATAAACAAAGAATTAAAAAACAATATTTTAGATAGATAAACTTTCCAAAACGTTAAAACGAAAAATGAATATACATTTAAAGCATATTCATATTTTATATTTATAAAAATAAATAAATATTTACATTTTTAAACATTTTCTATAATCATAACAGCTTATAAAAAAGGAATAAAATGTATAAGTATAAAAAACTACAAAAGATTTAAAACAATTTAATTTCTTAGTTTTTTTTTTTTTTTTTTATATATATATATTTTATCATTATTCTATATCGGGTGATAAGTGTTCAGAATTGTTTTGTTATTCGCTAACCAAAAAATGTAAATTCATTTTTATGGTATTATTTAATTAATTTTACTATACTTGAGTCGGATTCTTAACTACGTCGTCTATAATTCCATGATCCTTTTATTATAATTTTTTCATGGACCGCTGTAATCATGGTATCAATTCACTAACTATGATTTCCCGGAAATTTTCCAGAATCGGACAAATTTAAACATTTGAACTTCGTACGATTTACGACATAATTGTAAACTCTCTCGGCTTTTTAGTCAATAAAACCATATACGGTGAATTAGTTGAATATTCTTGTCTATTTGATATATTATGAATTATTATGATAATGTATTAGTTAACATGGAACAAGGTAATGATTAGTAACTTTTAAGAGACCTTTGTGATGTATTGCATTGTTAATAAGATAACTAACTGAGGTCTAGGCGAATATAATTGAATAATAATTATTAGCTTTAGTACTAGTCACCATGCCATAATTCATCTATTTTTCTAATATGTCCTATATGTCTGTCCTATACCATTCCTTTACTATCTATTAAGGTTAGATTAGGATGTCGTTTGGTTCCAATTTAAATATTATTTTCTAGTCTGATTTAGAGACAAATAACGAAAGGTAATGTACTAATGTGCATGTTACCAACGTGAAATTACCTTCCTTTTGGTAGTGGCCTAATATTTTGTGCATTCCGCGGTATAACATTATTGATTCTTATTTCTCGGTATGAATTAAGCGAGCTATTAAATATTCGTTTACATGTATTGTTCTTTTTCACACGCTACATGATTGCTACCTTGCAGACTTGACGCATTAGCAAAAAAAAAATGCGATTAAAAACTACATAAGTGACGATCGAATGTACCTATATTATTATGGTTTTTTGGATAATCGCCTTAAAGGGATTCGATTGTCAATAATTAGTTTAATTTATTATTTTCTTAACGATCGTTTTCCACCAGAAAACGATTTCGGTCATTCAACACTCGTATAATTTTTCGATATAGACGTGCAAACACGAAAATTCAATAAAAGTTTAATCAAATATTTATGATAATGATAATTATTATAATATTATTATTGCATTATTGCTAGAAAAACGAGACACGTGTATGTGATTTGTAAACGTTATTCAGTCTATTTACACGGTATAGAGGTCAAACGCATGTAATATTGTTAGGCATTACTCACGCATAATATACAATTATAATATTATTATTATTATTATTATTATTATTATTGTTACACGTACGCGATACATCAATATAATACACTGTGGTGATTTAATAATAATAATAACATATTAAATAACAACGAAATTGTCATTCGAATACCGTTAACGGCAATTGTCAATATATAGACACAGTGCTCTGCTACCACCTACCCCCGAAATTCTCAGTCGAGCACCTGCTCGATTAGCGCTATTAAAATGTGGGTAATTAATCGTCGCTGTTCGTAATTTATATTATCATGAACAATTGCGTTCCTGTCGCTAAAACGTTAATGTTCGAAATTTCAAATATCATTTTGGAGTAACACAGCCGATTTCGACGATGTTAGTTCCCTGATAATGTATACCTGTGTATCTAATCCACGACGTTTGTTTTCGTCGGTCTTTAAAAATAAAAATATATATTCCTGTATATAAAAAAAAAAAAAATTAATGAGAAATATTGGCACATCTTAGTGCAGAAAAATATAAGTATAGAACTTTCATTTAAAGATAGACGTTATTGTTATATAAATTAATAATTATATATAATTTTTGGCAGTTACATTTTCTAATAACACTATATTATAATTATACCGTATATGACAATATTTTAAAAATGAAGGTACCTAGAAAATGTTCTGTACTCGAGGAGAATATTTCAAAATTACGATAGTATAATAACACAACAATACCATATATTGCCGTCTGACTGTGTATTAGGTTTGTTTATGAACAATAAAATTACCGTAAGTTATTGCAACAAATCGCTTTGTGCCAGTACAACTTAATCAGCACGTTTTTTTACTTTTATTTTAAAACTGATATCATTTCAAAATGCACTGTCTGGAAAACAATTATACTACATGGCATCAGAAAACTGAACAGAAGTTTTTTCGATATTTTTTCTGCAATGAGAACATATAATTTTATCAATTACGTAAAGTTGACATTATATAATATATATATATATATATATATATATATATGTAATATGAATAATCTTACTAAAATCATCCAACAATACATGTATGGAGTCATTGGTAAGTTTTATAAAGTTTCAAGTTCCAATGGAATTTAAGTCATTAGTTATGAATTTAACTTTGAATATTACAAATGTTTATATTAAATGTTCAAAAAGTCCGGTTCTAAAAATCCCCAAAATGTGCCAAACAATGTTGAACAATTTAATGAGCACATAATAAAATACGTTGTATGATTTTTTTGTAAGATTTTGCTATTTATTAGTTATTAAAAATCACACATGTTATGCAAACTTTACGTATTTACCTAATTTTAGATATTTTAATGTATAGTAAAACTATAAAAATTCAATTTGATTGTATATTGAACCATTCACAACACCTATGCAATTTACTATTTACTATTTACTTTTTAGTAATATAATTAAATCTCGTTCTAGTTATTTCTTTGGGATATGATGGCTGAGTTTAACATACCATTCAATAGAGATATATTATGTAGAGATACATAAAGTATATACGTATAATAATCGTATTTACTATAATTTCGATACTTTCCCTTTACTCGAAGTAAATAAAATAACGTATTGAACATCCGATACGTATATATTGTGGGTATCAGGTAATAATAATAAAAACGTGTGATGTGCACTGCCGGAGTGGTAGGTATATACTATAGTTACAATTCTATAGGTAGGTGTCAAGATAATAAATATTGTATAGGTATTACAATGTCGGAGGATTATAAAAGTCGGAAACCGAGAATGAGATCTGCAACAAAAAAAATGTATCCATAAGTGAAAAAAAAATATTAACACAACAATATTATTGTTATAACCTTATAATACCTTTAACTGAAATGGTGATTCGCCCTTACTCAATACAAACATACCTAGTCTGTTCCAGAGGATACTCCATTTATGGCCGCGTACCCTTATTTTCTATTTCCTGTGTGTTGTAAGTACGTCAAAACTATGGTTTTTTTTTTCTTGTTGCTCAGACAATTGCAAACCCATTATCAATGTCGCTATATTACCTACCTACTCCACGTCCACCCCTATATACTTATAATATTGAATGGATATATTTGTTAAAAAGGACACAAGTCACGTATTTAAACAAAATAATTTCACGTGAAATTATTTCTTGGGTTAAGTAACTCAATTATAATATGATTACCTCGTCTTTGTATGTTGTTTGTTTTTTTATTAAAAAAAGCCATATTCATTGTATCATTTTCGTTTATGTACAATTATTTTGAAATATTCATGACATGACGTATCATGTAAATGTGTAAAAAGGTAAAATACCCATTTGTCATGTCTACATATATTTATAGTTTTACCCGAGTAATAAATAAATAATTGTTAAATTGAAACTATATAGATTTTTAAATTTGTATTATATTTAGGTCCTATTTATTTGATTGTAAATAATATTTCTAATGTATTCGAATTTGTAGCCATCTATATAACATAGCATTGATGGTTTTCAACGATTTTATCGAAATCATAACGACAAGTCTTTAAAAACAAATTAATAAAAACACTGTTTTGTTTCTTGTGAAAAGTAATTACTCCTTCATAGTTTGATCCCTTTTTAAATACCTTTTTTTTTTATATATAATATATACTATATATTATATAGTCATCGAGAAAACCATGTATAAGTAACTTAAATTGCACCGTCAGTGGTTAGGTAGCACTAGTAGAACAATTATTGATCAATACCATTGATTAAAAAATACTGGTAAACTCTACTAAATAATGTTATAATACTAATAGTTGATTATTGGATTTATCATAATTTATTATAAAATATTTTATTCAATTTAATTTTCTTAAAAAATTAAACATCATATATCTAATATAAATTACCTAGGTATTCTAATTAATATTTGAAAATGGTAATATAAGAAGATAAAAATAAACTAAATTCTGTTCCACATTTATTTTAAACGTTAAAAATAGCTCGATTTTTAATAATATTTAAATATGATATATTCATTAAATCTTAAATAAAAATGTTTTAAAGATACTTAATCACTTTTGTGTGAAAAAATATGTATAACTAATATTATTTTATTCTGCAATTCATATTAATGTCTTAACGATTTAATTAAGTAGGAAAGAACTCTAGGTATAAATCTAGCGATTGAACTTTAAATGTCGGGCACATAGTAATAATATTTAACTGAGAAAACGCAGGATATTGGATGACTGGCAGTAGTCTCAGAATGCTTATCAGCACTAGCCACTGTTATCAGTAGAAATGAATGCAAAACCGCTGTCATCGTGTTTTTGGCGTTTCAAGCTTGTGTTCGTTATGACAATATTCGCCACCAATTAATGGCATTATTTTCATGTTACAGGACGTAACGAATTGATCGCCAGATATATAAAACTACGTACCGGTAAGACACGGACGCGGAAACAAGTCAGTTCTCACATTCAAGTGTTGGCGCGCCGCAAGCTGCGTGAAATTCAAGCCAAACTCAAAGTGGTGAGTACCAAAATCTTACCATGGTGTACGATGCACCTCTACTTCAGATTTCACATATTTCCTGTTGTCATTCACCGATAGTCGAGTAATATTTTTTCATTATTATCATCATCGCCGTCGTTGTTGATAAATTGTTATGTAGACACCCATGGTGGATTTTTTTTTTTTAATTTTTCTCATTAGTGGATTAGTCATGTAATTAAGTGTGTTAGAGGTAGAGTGTAACGTGTGTTGTGGGGCTATAGGTGGTACCCACGGAGCATGCGGCCAAGGAGAAGGCGTTACAGACTATGTCGGCAATGTCCAGTGCGCAGATTGTATCGGCATCAGCAACAGTCGCAGCTATACACTCCAAGGGATTGGCCAGCCTGGCATCTTTTCCACCTGGCGCGCCGCCCCCGCCGGTGAGTACAAAATGCTCCCAACGCACGCTACCTCTTGTATACGTTTGCTTCTCTCGTAGCTTATATTGCCATCCGTAGCTTGTTTTACTTATGATTTACCAACCGCATTAACTAACATTGATTTTGTTATTTGTTACAGTTTTGGCAACCAGGATTACAGCCAGGCACATCCCAAGAGTAAGTATACTCAATAATCTAGTTTAATTTATTGAAAAATTTAATCTAATTTTTATACAATTGTTACAGTGTTAAACCATTTGCCCAAGGATATCCAAGTGGTGGATCAACAGGCCTTAAACCACCATCTACTGCTGTATCATCTGAAATTCAACCACCCAGTGTCCCACCTTGGGATGGTAGAGCAATTGCCACCCACAAACTACGTTTAGTTGAGTTCTCCGCATTTATGGAACATCAACGAGAACCAGAAATAGTGAGTTTCTTCTATAACTAAACATAGTGTATCCATACAGTGGTTAAATTGTAATTTTTGTCAACAGTATCAAAAACATCTTTTCGTACATATTGGAGGACCAGTGAGCTATTCAGATCCTTTATTGGAAGTGAGTATGCTTGATATATTATTTACATATATAAATTATGTATTTATAAAAATATTTATAATTATATATAATTAATTAATTTTTTTCTTTTTAGTCTGTAGATGTGCGACAGATTTATGATAAGTTCCCAGAGAAAAAAGGAGGCCTTAAAGAATTATATGACAAAGGTCCCCAAAATGCATTTTTCCTTGTCAAGTTCTGGGCAGATCTCAATTCGAACATTCATGATGAAGCTGGTGCTTTCTATGGCGTCACTAGCCAGTAAGTGTCTATAACAGTAGTCGGCAATAGGCGGCCCGCGGGCCAAATCCGGCCCGTGAAGGAAAAATAATTGGACCACAAAAAAATATTTATTTTTTTAATAATGCTGGTTTTCCACACATAATATATATTTTATCTATTTTATGATGTATTTAAAGATTACGATGGTTTTTATCGTTTATTGCTATTTACAATAATAGTTGCGATAATACAACAATTATTAACTAATATCTGAGTTTTTAGTTTTTACTGGCCCTCGAAATTTTTTTTTTAATTTTCTGGACCTCCATAGAATTTAATTGCCGACCCCTGGTCTATAAAACTAAACATACTATATTTATTTGGTGTTTATTAAGTGTTTTTTTTTCTCTTTCTTTAAAGATATGAGAGTTCTGAAAACATGAGCATAACGTGTTCAACTAAAGTTTGCTCATTTGGCAAACAAGTGGTGGAGAAAGTGGAGACAGAATATGCCCGATTTGAGAATGGTCGGTTCATCTACCGCATACATAGGTCACCTATGTGTGAATACATGATCAATTTCATTCATAAGCTCAAACATTTGCCTGAGAAATACATGATGAACTCTGTACTGGAAAATTTCACTATACTACAGGTAATATTTTGTTAATATTTGGTTACAAGATGATACTTGATAACAATGTTTTGATCAATGTTTGATAATTTTATTTATTCTCTCATCTTTCTAGGTGGTTACCAATCGAGAGACCCAAGAGACTTTACTTTGTACTGCATACGTCTTCGAAGTATCTACATCAGAACATGGCGCACAACACCATATGTACAGACTGGTCAAAGACTAAGAGTATATTGTACATATTTTATAATGAATTATCAAAAAAAGTCGATTGGTGCTGTTTGGTTTCAGTCGTACCTTTATTTATTTGAGAGACCTTCCAAATGATAAACGTATCCCAATCGATAATTTTATTTTGTTTGTAACTACCCATTACCCATACCAAAATACTCTCTTTAAGAAGGTAATGTTTACCTAATCAGATAATTATTATTATTATTATTAATTATTATTATTATTGTTCTTAACGACTTGTATAACCAAGGCAGTCAGTTTATTTGACATAATTCTGAAATTATTGTGAATTTTTTATTTTTATCCCTTTGATTTTTACCAATTTTTTTCCCCACTAATTTATTATTAGAATTTATGTTTTACTATTGTAAAATGGAAACACCACATAATTTATTGATGTACAGATAATCATCTTATGGCTCGCCACCTACAACTGGTGACTTATCATTGAGTATGAAATTATGACCGAGGTTTTAAGGGTTTAAAATAAATTTAAAATTATTACGTTTTTTTGTACTTAAAAGTTAGGTCGACTGAATCCTGTTGCAATTCTTATTGGATGTTGTAAAAACAATGTAATTTTGTAGATTAATTTGTATATACATAGACATATATTATAATATATTATACTATTTTTAAAAATAAACAAAACAAACTTTACAAAAAAAAATTTTAAAAAATGAAACATTTTTAACATTTAAATACATAGGGAATAATGTGTTTTATATTATTATTATTATTTTTTGTTCCCAAGATTTATTAGTTTTTACATTGTAAAATTAAACTTAGAAATGATTTCATTTGATCTCTGGGTTTTTCCTCAAACAGTGTTTGAAAATTAAGAAACAATAATAATATATATATATAATATTACACGTTTTATTTATATTTTATTGAAATTTTATTTGGAAAAAAATGTTCAAGATATTTTTATTATTTTTATTTTATTTTATACTTTTTTTTTTCACATATATGTATATACTATTATTGTAAAACACTCTTGGACATTGTAAAGTGAATTAAACGTTTTTCATCAATATGTTTATAAAAATAAATAACAATAAATACTAATGAAATGTTACCAAAAACTAAAAACATTGAGCTGTGTTCTAAAGAAAAAGAAAACACGATTCATTAAGTCCAGCGAGTTGAAAAACCAAAATGAAATTCTACTTAAGAAAAGTGTATATGATAATATTATGTAAGATCAATGATAGATATTTGATAAATATATATATTATGTGTATTGTGTATTGTGAAATTATTGTACTGGTTAACTGTTGACAGCTATTATCAGTATTTGATGATGTATGTAAGCATATTATTTTATATTAATGTGCAATGTTATAAAAGTTAATAATTATTTTGTATATTTTATATTTTATTTATACATATTTTAACATTTAAGTTAAACTATTTTTTTTTTTTTTTTTTAATTTTAATTTCTTTTTCTTTTTGAAAAAAAAAATTTAAACACTAATAATTTTTTTTTTTTTGTGTCTATTAGTCCAAAATGTGTGCAAGTGTACAGATGCTTCCTGAAAATTGCCTTTGTACACTTTTTTTTTGAAATGAATAAAAAAAAATATTTATTTTTTTGATAAAAATTTTATTTGTTTTAATTATTAAACAATATTCATAATTATTTATCAGTGATTCTCAACTTGTGAGTTTAGATCTATGTTTGTACATAGAAAAATATCTTAAGAGCTTTAAAAAATTGTATTATTTAATTTAGGATTGACACTTTAAAAAGTTTGAGCATCACTAATTTATCATACCTATTGACTATTGTCATAATATCATCATGTACCATGGAGTGAGTGCCAAAATTTAAAGAAAATCATTTTATTAGCTGTTATTTAACACGGAAACTTTATGAAATCAAATTTAACCAAAAGAGTAAATTTTCTATTACAGTTATGAACAAAAAATTTACTAAACATAGAAGAACAAGTAACAACTTTATTAATTTGATGGTTTTTTTGTAATAAATTTTTAAGTATGAGAAAAATAGATATTGTATGAAACGTATTAATTTTGTTTTTAAATAGTCAAAAACAAATTGGAAATAAGAAATATTTTCTAATTATTATTAAACAAATTAATGATTCACTGATTATATTATATAAGTAAAGCCAGCTAATTAATTTTTTTATTAAATTTCCATTTCAAAATAATGTCAATATTTTGATCCATTAAGTAGATGTTAGTTTATTTATCTTTATCACATTTTTATTAAAAATTATAGCAAATTTCTGAAAAAATTTTATTGATGTTTAACGATGATTTATAAGCAATAAATTTTTTGCAAAACGCAAATATTATTTATAAAACTAGGACTTGTGACAGTGTACATGAAATGGTTTTATATGTAAAATTAATTAGAACATTGAAAACATGGGAGATATGAATAACAGGTGTCAACTAAGCCTTAGTGGTGGTAGACGGCAGTAAACTAGTCCATTACCAATTTTTGTAATGTACTAATGTGTAATAAGTTATAGATATATTGATACATACAGTACATGCTAATTATAATAATGTCTGTTTGATCTCATTTATTTGTATGTCGAAGGATAGAAAAAAAAATACATAATGTCTTTATAGATACATTAGTAAAATATATTCAAAAATGTAAATAATTATTTATAGCGGAAAAATTTTATTCCGGGTTTCTAGTTCTAATTTTTTTTTTTTAATAGGTTTAAGTATTTAATTTGATTTTAAAGTTTACCAAATTGATTTTTGTTATTTAAAATCAATTGTATCTCCTGATTTATGTATTTTAGTAAATTTGACAATGTTAAATGGCTGGGATATCGAACAAATATTGTACAACTTTTTTAGGATCACCTTTTTTCACCTTAAATGTTTTGCCAACTTAAAAAGCTGATTCTCTATGGTTTTCATTGGAAGCATACAAATTAAATATACTTATACATCTACTTTGCATTATGGCCTTTTGGAATTATCCTAGTTTAAAAATAAATATATTATTTCTAATTGTAATAATATACACAAAAAGTAATTTTAATATCAACCTGTAGATCGTAGAGACAGTGTATGACAATGAACAGATGCTGATCCTGCACTCTCCTAAAATAATAGGAATTAAATACCCATTTAATTGCAAAAAGTTGATCTTATAAGCCCATATCACCAGGACATTCATCAATATCAAAGTTGAAAAATCCAAAACACAAAATCTACAGGTTATTTGTTTTATTATAAATTAATAACAATATATTTTATAGGTTATTTAGTTATAATATATATATATATATATTAATTTTTGAATATTCATAAAATCATTAGGAGCATTTAATCAAAAGTTGACTGTAACTATGATTACATTTTCATCCATCAAATAATCAGGAGAATAAAAATATGATGAAGCAAATTTATAATTGAACACTACCATATATGAACACACCTCAACAGCTTTTTTTCTTCTAGTTCTTCCTATTAAGATATTAAGTAACAAGAAAATAAAATTCCATTGTTAATATTACATTATAAATTTATAACAGCGTTATTATGGTAATATTTTTCTAATTGGTACTTGAGGCATAAATATGTTTAAATAAAAACAATATTTTCTTATAGTGATTTTGTTCTTTAAAAAAGAATATTGCGTGCACATGTTTCCCAATGAAAACGCTATTAATATTCCAGACCACCCTGGATGTTTGATAGGAGGCTGTAAAATACAAAATATTAGCAGCCAAAACCAACTACCAAATTAATAATTTATTATAGTTCTATCAAACAAAATATTATTCATATGTTATTTTATTGCTTTAAATTATATTTTATAAATAATCAAAGAAAGTCTCACCTTAAATCTCGATTCTCTAACAAGTGGTTTAGCATAGGGTACACCTAGAAAACTAAGAAAAAGCTTATTTTGTGGTAAATTCTTGGTAAGGTACCTTGCTACATTATAACAGTAATTTCTTATGTTACTAGAAAAAATAATTTTTTATATCTACTAACGTTATAATTATACATTTTCTTGTAACAGTAATAACTATAAAAAGTCTATGTGTCTGCACAAGCTATCTAAATTATTATTTAAAATTTAAATAACATTTTTCAATTTCTCAAATTGCTTATATTTAATAACACAATAAATGTTTACTGTTTGAAAAAATGTTAGAGAGGTAGTAAAAGTGTTATACTTAAAGTTACTCATAAAATATTATGCATGGTACTCAAAAACCTCAAGTTTGATATGGAGAGTGTCAACAAGTTTTTGTTTAGGTAAGTTCTGCAATATACAGTGTCGTTAAAGTTTTGAGCACATTGCAATTTGCAACATTAAGAGCAGCTATCTAACCTATACTAACTTGTGTGCAAGCAAAACAAAAATTAAACTCAAAATACAAAAAATTATATTAACTTAAAAATATGTGTGTAGTATTATACATTAAAAAAATTAAGTTAAAAAAAAAAATTCAACATTTGAGAGTAGTTGCTGACTTTTAACAAGAAAAAATTTGAGCGTGACTGCTATACAATCAATATCATAGGATGGTATTAAACGTTTGACACGATTATCAATTATCTAATGATGATCTATATTAAACCGTGCCATAATCGTCAGATATCTTACAAATTATAACAGCGCTAAATAAAAATCCCTTGAGCCTGTTGAACATGACATTGACAAGGAAATTCCATTTGATAAATACCCACCACAATTTCCACATAATTGAACGAGGTTGTTAGAAATGAGTTCTCGTTTGTAGTAGAACAGTATTGGTCAAATATTTAGTATTTAGTTTAAGTAAACAGACGGATAGTTAGTTATTATTATTCACTAACTTGAATATACCTTGGGCTCAAGTCTAAATATGCTACTGATGTCTTTCGTCTTGAGAAATACAAAAATATATATGACACTATTGTACAAGTAGCTTTTTGGCACAAGGAAGGTTTGAGCACTTGTTCAAAGCTGATCACTAGCTTGGTAAATATAAAAAAATATTTTGATGGGCAACGGCCTTTAAATCGATATTTTTATCTATTATACATTCATTTTTAAACATAAAGAAAATCTGATTCATTTTTTATATGGCACTAAAAATAATTAAAAATTTAAATAACTTTTGGATTGATACTTATTGATGTTTCTTAATAATAATTGTTTTTTGTTCTTATTATTATTTATTATTGATAATGTCTTGAAGAGTATAATGAGTACCTTCAGTAACATTTACAGAATTCATTGTTTAACATTATATAATATGAAAATAAATTATCATTTAAACTACCTAAATGTTTAATATTTAGTATTTATTTTATAATATTAGAATTGTAATTATAATCCCTAAGTTATGTTGTTATCTATGCAGTAATATTTATATTTTTCTATTCATATTTTAAATTTTGAAATGAATTAAAGCAAGATACAAGTAGGTTTTTGATTAACATGTTTATGTAGAAAATAGGAATAATAATAACAATATACTCTATATTGAACTGGTAAGCTACTCGAATAAACTGATTAAGTAATATTAGTATTTACTATTTATTATTTAATTATATTCATACTTTATTAGCCATTGCTATAAATGTTATTTTGAAACAAATGACAATCTTCTTAAATGTTAATATTACAATTTAAAATCATCTAAATAATAAATATTTAATATATAAACATAATGTAGTTTACAAAAAGTATAAATAAATGGGCTGAAAGATGATTATCCTGTGATGACTACTCAAAATAGAACTGAGGAATAATAGCTAATATATTATTATTTACCATACTATAAAATATCACAGTTTAATTTTCATTTACCTATTAACAGGTTTAGATGCTATAAAAATAATACATAATTAACAAATAGTTAAAATATGCAATTAAATCATTATTTAAAATTAATAACAAATTTACGTTTAGATGTCTTCACCTTGGTTGATAGTTCAATGATCAACAACTTCTAAACAATAAAAAAATAAAAATATATCAGTGAAAATTATACTTATATGACGTATATGTTATGAGTGATAGTTGAGTTACATAATTTATACAGTATTAATGTAACAAAAAAAAAAGTTTTAAGTTGTTTGTGTCACTCACCATTAATATCTTGTCCTTCAAGAATATTCCAGATCATTTTATTATATCTGTTTCCATAATAATCATCTTCGTCACTATTCATACTGGGACAAGATGAATCTGAATCTAGGATAGTACTTAATTTCGGCAATGGTAACGAAGTATCCTGTGGTTCTTCTTTTTTTATATGATTTTCTGTATTTATAAACATGGTAGTTAATTATTAATTATGTATTTATATACCATTATTTAATAAAAAAACATTTTTAAATATTATTACTTATTTGCTTTTTGGACAGCTTTAATTTCTTTTTTGGATGACAGTTATCGACATTCTTATCAAGGACTGATGGTTCTGAAAATTCAATCATATCCTCTAAAACATCTTCATTTTTACCTGGGAACGCTCTGAAATTAGTATTTTTATAACGGGGTTTTTTCGGACAATCAATGTCATCGTTTTGTTGTTTGGCAGTAGTAACATTTTTAGCAGCATTTATTTCTACTATCACTCTGGAGAGTTCTGGCTTATAATCTGGAGTAGCATCACGACCCAAAGACATATTACTCAATTTGTTTATGTATGTTAATTCATGACGGATTTGATCCTCCATCAGTTCTAGTTTATTCAATAGATCTAAATTTTTACGCTCTTCATATTGAGTCTTAAAATAATGGTCTGCGACACGGCCCATAAATTTGCGGACCTCAGCTCTTGGATAGTTGGCCTAAAAAATAATTTAATTAAATAGATTAAGGTTTTGTCATATCAAATATAGATAAAAAATTGTCTATACTCACTTCTAAGCAAGGATTAATAGCAGTAGCTGTAATTGTTATTTTTCTTTTAATATCCAGTTGGTAAAAACAGTAGGATGGGTCTAGTAAACCTTCATTAAGATAATTATTGACCAATTCTTTTGTATTATAATAGTCTTTAGGTACCATTTTTATATTGACCAGATATTGTTTAAATGGCTGTGTCTTATAAATTGTGTACAATAAGTAAACGGCACCTATGCGTGCTTCTGTCGATTTAGATCTCAAAAATTTGCTAGCTACTGCAAGACAATCCTGTGTGGTTGTGATGTAATAATGTGGAGATACAAATGTGTGTTTCCCTTCTCTATTGGGCTTAGCATAGATTTCATGAAATTTTGAAGAACTAAAACTTTCTAAAAACGAACTGTATTTTAATGTTTTACATTTGATAAACATATCAATTAAGCTAAAAGAATCGATGAATAAATTTGAATAGTGAGTACGCAGTTCTTTTGAAACTTTGACATTGTTCAAGGCACTTTTCTTCTGTCTAGACGTAATTGGGAAAACCATCTCTTCTTCATCGCTGTTCTCTTCATTACTACTTGAACTGGAGTACTCAAATTCTGACATTTTTTTTTTTTTTAATTACCTAGAAATTAGTAAAATTAACTGTTTTTTAGTGATAATACAAGTGTTGTTTAAATTTAATTTATTTTCAACTATACAAAATTTGTATAAAGACTAATTTATGTAACACTACAGTAATACTATGGTTATCTAACAGATAACAGTGCATAATAGCAATAATTTTATTGTATTATAGTAAAAAATATTTTAAAATAATCTCACTAGGTACCTAATTATTTGTGAATTAGGAAATTCTATTATCATTATAAATCAGAGTATTTGGACAAAAGTAAATATTTAAAAGATGTTATAATTGGATGTTTTTTTTTTTTCATTTCACTAACACATAATATACCAAAATATATGTTTAAGAATTTCAATTTGGTTTTTTTTGGTGTTTAGTTTAAATATTACAATAAAATAACCCATAATCTAATTTAGAGATAAAAACATTATCTATGTTCTTTAGTTGGTTTTAAGTGAATTTTAACCATTTTTAAAAATTAATATTTTGCATACCCATATACTGACGAGAGAACACTGTTGATGATGTTTTTGCCTTTGAGTTTGACGATTGATTATTTCACCCTAATATTAAGCCAAACACACAATATTGAAACTGCTGAACATTTTTTTTTTCTTTGGTAAGACGTGTATTAGTAAAGAGACAACATATAAGTAGTTCTATAAAATAATGTTTTGTTTAGTGTCACAGAATTTTTGTCGTACTTACTCAATTGCAATAAGTGATGAACCAAGTGTGTTCGGAAATATATAAAATTTCGAATTATAACTGTTCCCGGAATAGGTAGATGAATTAATCTTAGTATAGATTTTAAATTTAAACATAGGAGCTCTAAGAGAACCGTTTAAATTTCGATTTTGAGTTTCAACTGTTTTAAGTTTTTAACTATTGTAAATTGTAATTGATAAGAATTGATAAGAAATAAGAATGTTATCAGAAGAACTCACCGGTGGGTATTGTGTTATAACATGGTTATAAGAAGCTCAAAATATTTTTTAATAGTAAATAGATTATATTTATAATATTTTTTTTTTTTTTATGTGTATGATCTTTAAATTGTATAAGTACATTAAGATTTATTGCATAGCAAAAGAAAAATTTTAAACAGGAAAATTTAAACACATAAATGGTGTCTGGATATTGGATATTTTAGGTATTTAAATTTTTGTTGACAACGTGTGAATAGTGAATAGAATATTAAATTACGTACTATGCGTCTATGCAGTATCTAGGTACCTACTATTTTATTAAAAGTTTATGAAATATTATGTAATTTAGCCAATTTAGGTATCCTGAACAGTTCTCAGTGAAACAAATAATATAAATCGTCTGCTTGACAAGAACTTAGATATTCATAGATTAATATTAATTGTGCATCTAATTTATTCGACGTGAAAACAAAATTATTATAATGTAAGTATTTATATTTCATTTATAATACGTATACATGATGATTTTTCCAAGACACCGTAGGTTATTCTAGTCAATAATGTTATTGTTATATTCAATATAAATAAATATGTTTTCGTATATTTGTAAATAGATTTGGAAATAGATACCTGTCTTAATAGATATACCATATACGTTCTACGTACCTATCGCTTATTTCGGAAATAATTGTTTAATATTCTAATTTTTTTATGGACTGCTTAATTTTTTTATTATGATTTTGATATTGTAAAGAAAATTGGAAAATGGAATGATATTGGAAAACTAACGAAGGGTCAGAAAAAAATAGTCAAAATTTAAGTGTTATAAATATGCCGATCTTTATTAAAAAAAAAAATGAAAGTACATATCTAAAAACATAATAAATAAAAACCTTTTATCGAGAATAAGTTAAAAATCATTCGAAGAATTGTTGGGTATATTTTAAGAACATTCATAACAAGAGAAAATACATGATTCTTAAAAAGTATTTAGTTTGGGGAAAAGCTTACTATTGTACTGCGGCATAGGCGTGACTAGACTTCATTTACAGAGGCAGCATATTAACTAAACGGCCCAAATTTTTTTTTTTATATTCAAATTTTCCTTAACAATCATAATAATTAAATGGTCTAGACTCTTGATCATAAAATTATTTGGGATAAGTGTTATTAATATAATAATTATAATTTATAATATAATATTATTGTACATATTTATACATATATAATAATTATTAGAAAATTATTTTATAAAACTATTTATAAAACTAAGCCATTTATTATATTATTAATATAACGCAGGAGTGCAGGACATTAAAAATTTACAAGGAATATATTTATACAATATGCATATATACATATAACATATATATTATTATTAAAGAGCAAGTCTTCTTTTTTGTGAAAAAGTTTTAAATTCATCAATAATGTCATCTATATGTCAGATACTAATTTTTGCTCAATGAATAAAAATAGCAATGCGTTAAGTCGCTCTTGCCCCATAGTGCTTCTTAATTTATTTTTTATAATAGCCAATTTAGCTGCCTCTATTAATTTAATTTTTTTTTTTATTTCGATCTTTAGCAGCTCCTCCCAATTGTTTTTTATTATTTTTAAAAACATCCATGATACGGCTATACGAGTATACGAGTATAATGATTACAATAAATTTATAACTTTAAAGTTTAAATTACATTAATACTACTCAGCGAAATAAATAACAGAAATACTAAATAATATTATTATGTATGAGCATGAAATAATATTATACGTGTGTGCGATGCGTGGTTTCAGTGTTTGTCGCGGACATAAAATATTATATCTGTGTCCTGTAGTGTTTGTTAATTCTATCGAAAATATTATACATAGGAATTTTCAATATACCTCTATTAATGCATTCTAATAATTTTATTTTTACACACATTACGATTAGTTTTATTTTTATATCTATACGCTCCAAACCTGTAATTCCTCGGAAGAAGTAATGCGCAAGCAGTCCCATCCGGCCCACTGGGTCATTGGTTTAAACAATATAATATGAACTGATTACAGTTTACGATTCTTTTTATATTAGAATAATATGTTAATATGTTATAGTTATATACAAATATTGCATTTTTAGTAAAGGAAAAACAATATAAAATATCTAATTGAAATAATATTATAATATTTTTCATTTCATAAATTAAGTGCAAATCATCGACCTTTTTAGATATTACAGGGGCAGCACAAGCTGCCCCTGCTGCCCCCGTAGTCACGCCTATGTACTGCGGTAAAATAAAAAAAAACAACTCATCTTTATAATCTGTAAAATGTTATAATTTATAGCTAATCGCTAATCATACGAGTAATTAGAAAAGAAAATAGACACACTCACACAATATTAATAGATATATCAGTATATCACTAATACAATATGTACTTTTATATCATTATAATTTATAATTATTATTGATATATCATCATTTTATTGAATTGAATTGAAAAAGTCTATATAAGAAGTTTCACTTTCGTGAGACTCGTGTGTGGCCGTTGAATCCACAGATGAGAAAGGTAAGAGCACCTGTATTGAGTTATTTACATAGGATTGTGGTTGTAAGAATGGTGTCTTCTCCGTGACAAATCATGTCCACGATATGGATTATTCCGAGTATTCCAGTCCCGCATGTACATGGAGAATTTGACATAATATATTAATATGAACGTCTTGAAAGATCTTTAAAACGTTCAATTTCGTTTACATGCATAAATTTTCTGGTATTTTTTTAAAGTCGTTTACCAGAAACACAAAAAAGACGATCTTAGTCGTTTTCTACATTTTTTGTTCTTAAATTGATGTTTAAAATCTCTATTAAATTTGTATCAATGTCATCATTTTTATTGTTTTTGTTGCATTTTGGTGCCCACGAGGAATTGAAAGGACGAGCAGCTGTATGTATGTTCAACCTCTACGATTTTATCTTCATTATTTCTTTTTGTATTTTAAGTAATATTCGAAGTTGAGGAATTAACCGATACCGTATCTTTTTAACAATAAAAGTCACTCTTAGAAAACGTAGGGATATTTTATTTATCGCAGAACCGCTTTTGGTCTCGTTCACTTTGCGGGCCCTTACAAAACAATCACGTATATTCCGCCATTTTTCTGATGATTCACGTCTGAAAAAATTAATTATTTCAGATATTTGACAATAGAGTGTACAATGTTCATTTGTAAAAATGCATCATATACCTATTTCACGTGAACAATAAACATATATATTTAAACTTCAATAATTGAACGAATCAACGTTTTGTTTAAATTCAAATAAATAATTTTTTTTTTTTTTTTTAATTTAAACATTAAAATATCAACTATTATTTATTGTTGAAAATACTATACACTATCCCAATAATGTTTTTTTGTTTTTAATTTAAAAATCTTAAGCATTAAATATATACCTAAAACCTACTATTTACACGAACGGATACGGAATAAACCATTTTTGGACTACCGGGAAATTTTAAAAAGGGGCCCGCATATAAAAAAGTCACTTGCTTTGCTCGTAAATAAATTATTAGATGAATTATAATAGGTACCATATCAAAAGAAAACAATGTATAATAAAACAGATTTTAAAAATTATTTATTTATTTTTAAAAAATAAATAGTCTTCTTAAAATACCTAATCTCAAAATAATAATAAAATTCTTAAAATAACAACATTACACCAAATACTAGGCTCATAGCTTTAAATTTATTAATTATATCTTAAGAATATTATATTCATTACTCTCCTTGGAATCTATAAAATGTATTTATCGAAATTTAAAATGTTATGTATTTTCTGGTGACGTTGGAAACAAACTTTGTCTTTATAGATTCATAACATATATATTAAGTATTATTTATTTTAACAATTGACTTTTATCATTTATATATTTTTTTTTTTTTTTGTAAGATGAAAAATAAAATGAGAGTTATAACTGTGAGAGATAATAATAATTCAAGAAAACATGCTCTTTTAATACCAAATAATGAATGGACACGACTAAAAAAAGTTTTGACTAAAAAGGATGACGAAAGAGCTACGGTTGAGCTGACAAAGCGATTAAGAGAAGAACGGAAAGCTACATCCAATGCCATTACTGAATCGTGGGACGCCACTGTAACAGTACGTAAATAAATATTTATGAAATCCTGTAAAATGTATTAAATATGCGTGTTTTAAATTGATTTTTTGACACAACCGTATTTGTACGAGTATTATTGTTTGTAAACGCTTCACAGTTTATAATTTCATGTAGGAAAGTACTATTTTTATTTTTTACTTACAAAAAATAATAAAATAATATATCATTTTAAATATTATTAGTATTAAGTATTAACTTGCAGTATAATTAATACAGGGTGGGGCCACGGGAATAGGGACAAAAGTAGACAGAGTTTTCTCAACGTTGAATGTGAGTAGGAAGGTTTAGAATTTTAGATAAGCTCATTTGATCTGTCCGATATAATTGCGTTTAGTTTTCATAAGTCGCAACTAGTGGAGTGTCGTTGACCGTGCGTTGCGTACGACGCGTTTGTGAAAAACAACGAATCCAGTAAGTGTAGTTAAGGTGTAGCGGATATTCAGACTTCACGTCTTGGTGCTATTCCCGTTTGGGACCAGTTGGTTTTTATTTATTTACTGTCCTCGTTGTTCGAAAATTATCGACCTACCTTAAAATTGTTTTGCCATTAGAAACAGCACCGCGACGTGAAGTTTGAATGCCTGTTGCACATTAACTATCAATTCATTGTTATTCATAAACGCGTTGTACGCAAACACACAATGAACGACACTCCACTGCGACATAGATAGTGAAAACTAAAGGGGATTATCTAACAGATCGAATGAGCTTATTTAGACGTTTTTACTCACATTCAAAGTTTAGAAAACCACGTCTACTTTTGTCCCTATTCGCATGGACCACTCTATACTTATATCTAGTACTTAGTCACAATGACATAATTAAGTTTAACATAAAATCAAATAGGTATATTATATAGGCTATAACGAAACGGGTAAAACGTACAAGTAACAAATATATAATATATTATATTAAAATATGATTTACAATCTTTACTTGGTTAGATATTATTATAATAGCATAAACAAAAATATTATCAACTTAATTTTTTCTTAGAACCAACGAAAGAAAGAATTTGAAAATAAACAAGAATTAATAGCCATTAATGAAGCCAAACAACAACAAAAAGACGAAATTATGTTACATGAGATTTTGAAGCGTAGAAATGCTATTGTAGAGAAGGCAAGGTTGCAAAAATGGTCAGATAGAGATTCAATAAAAGCGATAACTAGAGCAGTCCACAAGATAGAAGTACGGTTTGCACTTATAGTTGTAATATTATTACTTGGGTATTACAGAAATAAATATCAGTTTATGTTATATACATATGTATCAATGAAGTGATGAATATGATACCTTTAATTATAAGGTGAACATAAATATTATTATTCAGTATTCATCTTATGCGATTATGTATTTATAATAATACATACATGTTTAAAACACTAGCCTTTAGAACTGCTTAAGCTGTAGTATAATATCAGAATATCTATATTAGCTAGACTTGGTACCTAGTTGAGAACGGTACACATATATACAAATTATAGATGCTATAAATATCTGTAACATATAAAATATTAGATTTTTTTAATGTTGTATCAGGTTCTCCAACTCAAATTATTCTAGTAATAACTTTCAATAATGTTATTGTTATACCGTTAAATGTATGTAATATGTTATAATGGGGGTCTTATTATTGAAGGTGCTCAGAGAAAGAGATATACAAATTGAATTCAATAAGGCAGAAAAAAGCAAAAGAACTGGAAGCAAATCGTTTATTAAAAATAAAACAAAATTTAGATGCTGAACAATATAAGAGAGACCGATGGGAACAAAAATTAAAGCAAGCTGAAACGAAAAAAGTTAATGCTATTAACTTCCAAAAAGAGTGAGATAAAACATTTAAATAATTTTATTTTAATTATTTAAAATAATAAATTTAACGTATACCTATGTATAGATTAACAAATATTAATTATTCTTATTTGATAATACAATTTAAAACAAAATTAAAAAATATATTTAAACAAATCAAAATATAAATTATTAATAAAAAAATAATTTTTAATACAATATAGATACATATTTTAAAACCTAAATTAAGTAAGCAATAAAAAAAAAAATAAAAAATATACTCATTAGGATTAAATTTTAAGTTATTATTATTTATCATGATCTAATTAGATTGAAAGAACGAGAAAATAAAAAGCGTGATGATGACATTAAATTAAAAGAAGAGGGCAAATCTGAATTACAAAGAATTGCGAATGAAATTAAGGAAGACAATGAAAATAAAAAAGCTAAGGTTATAGATTGTGTAAATTGTTTTTATCATATGTATTTAATTGGAATGACTTTAATGTTTAAGACTTTAGCAGTAAGAAAAAATGTAATAAACCAATTAAACGAGAATAGAAAACTTGTGACTGAAAAAATGAAACGACGTCAATCACAAGATAAAGAAGAAAATTTACAAATTTCAATTATGGCCGAAGCAAAAAAGAAATTAGCTAAAAAAATAAAACTGAAAGAATTAGAAGTAAATGTATATAAATTCATAACACAGTTTTTTTTTAAATTAAAATTTGTTTGTAGATTTTAAAAAGAAGACAAACATCAGAGAAAAAGTTTGAAACTGAAAACAAAAATCTGGATAGAAAAGATGTTGAATTCCAGAAGGCCATCGAAGAAAAAGAGCAAAAGTTGAAAATTTGTTAATTTTTTAACTATTTATATTTTTTTTTGGTAACAGGATCTATAAATAATTGTTTAGGTATCAAAAAGAAGAACTCATAAAAAAACCATTTGATAAAAAAGAGAAAAAAAGATTTTGAAGATTATAAAAAAATCTTGGATGAACAAATTGAAAAGGAAAAAAATCGTTTGACCCTGAGTCAAAAGTGGGAAATGGAGAGGTGTTTACGAGAGACTGAGGCCTTACGCTCACTTGATGAGTCAAGAAGACAAGAAAAAGCCAGGGAGATGAATAGTTTTAGGAAGAATCTCTACTTACAATGTGTAAGTGTGGCGTTACAAAGTCGATTTAATATTTAATACTAAATTAATTATTTTATCTTATTTATAAAGGAAAACAATAGAGCAGCTACTAGAGCTAACAAACAGGTAGATCTAGAACAATATAATGCACACTTAAACTTATTGCAGCAACAGGACGAGGAGTTAATGACATATCGTAATAATATGATAGCTAAGTATCAAAAAGCTGGAATATCAGTTATACCAAAGTAGTAATAAGAAGACAGTTCTTGATCACCTCCCCCCTTAAATTTACATGTAAAATCATATGACTTTTTTATAGGCAACAACTACTCATGCACCTCCCAAACACCTCCAAAATTTGTATTAATTAGTATAAGCAATCTGCAACACATATTAACTAACCTAATCTAACCCGCCGCCGTCGTCAAACCCAGCGTTATCTATTACTTATTGTTATCAATTAAATATTATTTCAATTTTTTTTTTTTCGTTACCAGAGATCTTAATGACCACAATCACATACGGTTCTAACATAATATATTCTGACCTACATCCTAATATCCCCGCCACTACACCCTGGTCATCAATCGACACTGAATCGCCGTCGGCGGACTTAACATCGGTCCCTTCATCGTCTAAACAAAAGAACAGTTCATATGAATATCCGATTATTGTTAAAAATACAGTTCTAATTATTATACAATATATTCTAGACCTGCCTAAAATTTAAAGCATTACCATGTACACACGTCCATCCATTTAACTTAACCCATACACACATTTACCTAATATTATATAAATCTCTAATCCAAGTCAAACATATATATGCATACACACATTTACACACACAAGCACGCACGCACGCACATACGCACACATACAAATATACATACATGAACACATACGTACATATTATATATACATAATCACACACAATACACGCACATACAACCAACCACAGACATACATACCTACATGAACACATACACATACATACATTAAACCTTTTCAAACATACGTTGTCCATAACTAACCTACCACATCCCTGTCACCAAGGCCGTTTTAGATACAAACCTGCAGAGACATGTCCGAGTATTGTTTATGAATACTAGCCATACAGTAGTAGCAAAATTAAATTAATCTGTGTACTACCCTTCAAGTGACAAGTCGTGCTAATTCAGAAGTTTTCTCAGTTATTTTACAAGTATTTTAAAAATTATACTATTAACAAAAATTATAGTTCGCTGTTCTATCACTATATATTATACATATGCGCTAGTAAATCACTTAGATAAAATCATTTCACACTGATATTTAAAGTAAAATATATTTTACTATATTTCATTACTCATCTTTTCACTGAAAGTTAAAGTCTTGTTTCGTGAGTTATAAACGTAATCATGTTTTCGTGCAGTGTATGCGATAAAACCTTTACTAGAATCTGTAGTCTACTCAGACATTTCAACTCACACAATGTTTCCAATAAGATTTCTTGCAATATTTGTTCACAAGTGTTCACGCGAAGAGATAACTTCATCAGACATAGCAAAGAAAAACATCGTAAGTATTATTTTTTTCACAATATACAAATTTATTAGATAAAATATTCATAAACAAATTAATAATAATATTATTATTACTATTTTAAGGTTCAAATATTATAATCCAACAACAACCAACCATAACCAAGCAAGGAATTCAAGATTTTTTGAAACCGACTGAACAAATTTACGATTATAGTAGGATTAAATAGCCGATTCAAAAACCTCACCCTCACCAATTCACCATTCTCACCCTCGCCCAAAGCCGCCGCCGCTGCCGCTACGTATGTGACGTACCCCCTCACCATCACCCTCGCCCAAAGCCGCCGCCGCCGCCGATCGCGTACGTGCGCGGCATATACTTTATCAGTCATCACTGTTATCATTTGTTATCAGTTATCATATAATCATTTGTTATCGAACGTTAATCAACAAATAGTGAAAAAATTGCAAAATAAGTGATCGGGTATCGAACCCGGACTTACCGCTTCCCGTGAGATATGATCTACCACCCCGCCATATACTTTGAGATAGTTATTCTTATCTATTTAACCAGAGTTATCCCACCACCGCCGCCCAGACTCTGTCAGGTCCACTACGTAACCGAGGACAATTTTGCTGTCAGATGTCACCAGTTATCATTTGTTATCAGTTATCATTTTCTTAGCCAAAACGTTTATCACCATTATCAGTTATCACAAATATTTTTACCAGTTATCAAATAAAATGGTATCAGTTATTATTTTTCGCGCGCATAATCAAATAAAATATTCAAACAACGTAGTTCCCTCCTATATTTGGGGGAAATAATATTCAAAAAAAAATGTAAAGAAATTGTCATTAGATATAATATTATTAAAATGATCATTAACATTGATTATCATTAGCATTATATCCATACGTGAGAAAATAACGTACAAAAATGTGATTAAGTATAAAAAATTCATTAGTAAAATAGTAATTTCTATCGATGATTAATAGGTTTGACAATACTGGTCATATGTACACAAATAATATCGATGAATGCGTCATAATAGGAGACATTTGACCACAATGGCCCGTATATTTCCTGACATTAGGATTTATATTGAAAGACATTTCCAATGGCAGTAATAATCACAATTAAATGTCTTCATAATGTGCCCTACCGGTCGTCAGGATGTCGCAGATATTTACTTAACGATATTAAAATACCTATTATTGTAGGTATATTATTCATATTCAATTAAATATATGGCAAAAACTATTATTATCCTGAAACTTTACCGTCGCGGTCTCGACATTAGGGGATAAGCACGTCTAACGTCGGTTTGACAATAAGATACATTTCCTGCCATTAGGTGGGTATTTGGCGCTGTCGCATACCCTTTCTTATACGATATTAGAATGTCTATTAGTGAACAACACATTAATGATCGATATTAGTACCCTTTGCCGGACGTATCAGTAGTATGTATTTGTATGTTCACAGCACTTTTGGGCAGGGAGATTTTTAAAGTTTAAGGGGGAATATCCCCCTTGAGCTCATTTTCGTCTCCGTGTAATTTTTAAAAACAGTTTATTTATATTGGTTACACTGTAATTTTAATCTTGTGCTCAATTTTTTTTGTTTAACACAAAGTTTTTTCAAACTTTAAAATTAATAATCTAATCTAGTTCAGTTTAGTTAGTGTTAAACCATCATTCGATCAAGACCTATTGCTTATTAAAAAGTTCTTTATTTTTACAAAAAATGAATTTTCAAAATTTTAGCAACAATTTTTGTTCACTAGTTTCTTTAGTACGAAATAATGCATATCCTAAATACCCAGAATATACAACATTTTCTTCAAGATTGAAAACATTCAACTTATTCCCGTTAACTTCATCTCAAGATAAATACTCATTAGCTGAAAGCGGTTTTAAATATACAGGGAAAAAAGATATTGTCGAATGTTTTTGCTGTGGACTCATCTTACATAATTGGGAAAAAGATGATATTCCATGGATTGAACACACAAGATGGAATCCAAAGTGTATATACGTATTATTATCAAAAGGAAATCAGTTTGTTGAAAATATAATAAATAAGTACGGAAAGATTAACGATGTATGTCAATGTGATTGTGAATTTAAGACATATGATACTGTAATTTAATATTTTTTTCTATTAATATATTTTTTTTTTCTGTTTTTATAAGAAACAATTTAAATATGTTAATATTTATCTTAATATTTCGTGAACGTATAGTCTAGTGGGATAACGCGTCTAGTTTAAATTAAATTTGTTAAGATTAATTTTCAGGTTCAATGGTATACGTAAGTAGATAAATAACCCTCGACACGCTATCCAACTAAACTATACGTTCACATTTTTTTCCGTTTTTTTCTTTTTTAACCTCTTCAGTTTTAGTATATAACATGTGTGAGCAAAAAAATACTGTTAGTTTAAGTTATACTGTCATAGTGTTTATATTCATTTTTTTTTTTTTTTTTTTAAATAATCGTATAAATATTAATTTGAAAATCGTTTTATAATTTCAAAGAACTTATCGTTATATAATATGAATCCACCAGTCGTTGTATCAAAATCAGTGTTCGATATCCGTCCTTTTGGAAAGAAAAGTGTAACAGTTGGACTTTTGATTAATAAACAGATTTCAATTATTATATTATTAGAATGCAAATTAACTAAAAAAATTGTTACGTTAGACCTAGATCAGTGGTGTACATTAATGTGTGAAAATAATTATAACGCAATTATTGATAATTTACATACCCGATGTAAACGTGTTAAAATAGCTGACAACTTTTTCTATTCCGTTAATGTTAACCAATCGACTATTGTTTTATATTCTAATAATAATTATATAACATTATCTCACGTTGATTTACATCGTTTAAAACAATTACAACATTGTATCGACTTGTATATTGTTGAAAAACAAAAGAAGTTGGAATCATACCAAAAAACATTTGATACAGCATATGCGTTGATAAAGGCCGACGTCAATGGATTACCATCGTCTTGTCAACGAAATGAATTTACAAACCAATATATTCAAAATTATGATTTTAGTAATAGCAATATTCAAAGTGATGATATTTCATTCATGTACGAGTTGTTGCAATTTCATTTTAATTCATTATCAAATATGATTTTGCAAGATTTGGTAATGTAATAAAAATTAAAACCTTTAGATTTAATACTCA